AGTCAACTCAATGACATATCAACAAAAAAAAAAAAACCCACTCACTAATTCCGGTTCAAGGCTTCAACAACGGTCAGACGATAAACGCAGTACCGAGAAAATCTTAGCTATTCGACAAAATACAGAATACGCTAAAATATGGAGAAGTCAAGAATCGAAACCATCTGTAGCTCCTTTAACACCGACTGAAGGTGGGGATCCATCATATCCAAAGCGTTTCAGACTCCTCTATAAAAGAATGAGGCTGAAACACTTTGGAGGGGGTATCTGTAGGCGTCTAAAATTGTCTACGAGAGCCCACACGAAACTCGAAGCAATGAATGGGCGAGTCAAGAAGATTCGTCAAACCAACTCGTGCGCGTCGGTCAAACGCGTGCACGTCAATCAACTCGTGCGCGCCAGTCAACGCGCGCACGTCGATCAGCCCGTGCGCGTCGGTCAACGCGCGTACGTCGAATCAACTCGTACGCGCCGGTCAAACGCGTGCACGTCAACCAACTCGTGTGCGCCGGTCAACGCGCGCACGTCAACCAACTCGTGCGCGCCGGTCAACGCACGCACGTCAATCAGCCCGCGCGCATCGATCAGCACGCGTATGTTAACCAACGCGCGTTCGACGATCGGTCTCGCGACGAAGCATACAAGTCAACAAATCGAACGAATACGCAACAAGAACAAGTCCCGGAAGAAAGAAACCAAAAAAAGGGAGAAAGTCGGCGAACCCGCGCTAAGCGCAGGACGGAATGATCCGACCCGCGCGAGCGCGGGTCGGATGTTTCCGACCCGCGCAAGCGCGGGTCGGATTATTCCGACCCGCGCGAGCGCGGGTCAGATTGTTCTGCCGCGCAGTCTAATGTCCCAAACACGTTTTGACGGTTTTTAATTGGTTTTTTGCAGGGTTTATCGGTTCCAGGGGTTCTTAACTGACTTGAGATCATCCTCAAACGTGGTTAGGCTGCTGTTGACTAAAGATAGAGCCAAATCCCTTGTTCTTATCCAAATAACCGCATTTTGAGGCCTATAAATATGAACCAAAGGCCTCCATTTTCTGGATCTGGAATTTTATCAAGAGGACGAGGTGCTGCTGGATTGGAGAGTGAAGAAGTATGAAATTTCAGCAAAGGACAGCGAGATCCCGGCGAACTTCAGCACAAAGGAGAAGCCGTTCGAAGGATCTGAAGCCCGTACATCCGTTCCTTGAGATTAGGCTTTGTCTTAATCTCGAGAAGAGCCCTGATTTCGCTTTGTCGATTTCAGGACTTCAAGCAAATACCCCCTTGGTGAGGTAGAAGCTCTGTCCAATTTCCCATCAACCGGATCTGATTCGCGGTCGTCCACGGATTAACCCCGGCACCGGCAAAGAACCCACGCAAGCAAGATCTGATAAACGGATCTTGTGTTTATTTTCAAGAAAGTTGTAATCTTTTGTTCTTTTGTTATTTGAATTCATTTGTAACGCTTAAAGTTTAATGAAATCAATGACTAAGGTGACTTTCGATGGAAACAACAATCTCACGCTGGTTATAACATATCGAAGTCTATTCTATGCAATCAATTATTAACAGATATAAATAATGGAAATATAGATCAAAGGAAGCGGGATCTTGCCTGCGAGACCAAGAGGTCTGTGGACGAAGCGTCGGCACCGATGTGGGTGTTGCCCGACGGATCTGAAGAGAGGGTAGCGGCGACGGCGAGCTCCGTCGAGGTGGCAGCGGCAACGGTCGTTGTCGACTGTCCAAAGAAGGGGCGGCGACGGGATCTCAGCGGGGCTTGGTTGAGGTGCAGGCGGGGGAGGTGGAGCTCGGGCTTAGGCGGAGAGGATGGCGACTGGTGGAGGTGCTGGAGCTCGGCGTGGGTGCGGATCTGGTCGGAGGCGGACGCGGAGGCCAAGGCGGCGGTGGTGATGGGGGCTGAGGGGCGGCGCTCGGCGCGGACAGCGACGAGGCTGGGCGAGGAGAGGAGCGGTGGCGCTGGTTGAGTTCGGGTGGACGGAGGAGGGGCAGCTATATATATATATATATATATATATATATATATAAATAAAAGTTAGGGTTAGGGTTAGATAATTAAAACGAAAATAATTATAATAAATAATTTCGGGTACTTAAAAATTAAACTAATTATAAAATAATTATTTACAATTAAAAACATACATGTTGTACTAATACAATAGTTGATACGAGATAGTCAAAATATACCCATATTGTATAATTAAACGAGAATAATTAATAATAAAAATATTTTTACTTAAATTTAAAATCAAATAATTATGGGACAATTACGTACACGGTAAAATATACCAGTTATACTAATACGACAGATAATATGTAATAGTAGAAATAATACAACAAATTATACCAAAGATATGTAATTAATAAAACAAAGTATTATACGAAATAATACATAATAATATTAATAATACAACATATTATTTAAAATAATACGTAATAGTACTGATAACATAGCAAATTAATTCTAAAAAATTTTACTGCACGAAATAAATTTATAAATATTAAAACCATTAAAATAATTTAAAATTTTGGTTTTTAAATCGTAGAAAATTCTAGAAAATCAAGAAAAATACAAATACTCTTGAAAATTCTAGAAAATCAAGAAAAATACAAATACTCTTTTAAAATAATAATTGAATATTTTAAAATACCAAAAAATTATTTTAACTAGTATCATAATAATTGAATATTTTAAAATACCAAAAAATTATTTTAACTAGTATCAAAAATTCATGGTCCTTACACCCCCGGTCATGTCAGTCGAGACTGTCCGTAGCGACAGCAGGCCCACTTGCCCCCACCTCCAGTTCGGGCAGCTCTTCCAGCTCCACCTCGACCTGCCCCAGTAGCACCAGCTCAGCAGAGACCCTATCCCCGAGCAGGGCCTTTTCTTCCTTAGAAGCAGTTTTATCAGGAAGCACAAAGGCAGCAACCACCGCGTCAGACGTTTATGATGTCAGCTGTGGAAGCTGAGGCGAACGACCAGGTTATCACTGGTAAGAATTATTCATTGCCTATGAAATTCCTTATTTCGCATTACATGATGATATCATAATAGGATTTGTTTATGAGTGCTAAGTTTAGTTGCATTATCTCCTCCTGTAATAGGCAACGTTCTTGTTTCTTCCGTTCCTGCTTTATCACTCTTTGACTCTGGAGCTTCCCATTGTTTTTTGTCTCATCGATTTATGAGTGCTCATTCTCTTCCTATAACTCCTCTGACTACGGGCTGGAATATCAACACTGGCAGTGGTGTTTTAGTAGCATCCAGTGGTTATGAAGCATGCACGATGGTCATTAGCGGGAGAGAACTCTTTGTAGATTTTCTGGTGATTGATTTGCTGAGCTTTGATGTAGTATTTGGGATGGATTAGTTGGGGTCATTCATTACCACCATTGATTGTCGTCGTCTGAGTGTAGTATTTGAGATACCGGATCACCCAAGGTTTGAATTCCAAAGTGGCAGTACATCGGCTGGACCGGTAGAATACAAAGCTAGACCAAAGAAGGCGACATTAGCTGCAATGCAAGTGGAACCCGAGATGCCAAATGTAGTTTGGGAATTTGAAGATGTATTTCCCGATGAGATTTACGGGTTGCCACCGGTTCGAGCAATTGAGTTTTCTATAGAATTGAAGCCTGGAACTGCTCCGATCTCCAAGAATCCTTATCGTATGCCTCCGGCTGAGTTGACCGAGCTTCGGACTCAATTGAATGATCTTTTGCAGAGAGGCTTGATACGACCTAGTGTATCGGCCTAGGGAGCACCTGTGTTGCTTGTGGGTAAGAAAGATGGATCCAACCGGATGTGCATCGACTACCGGGAATTGAATGCTGTGACAGTGAAGAATAAGTATTCACTTCCCCGTATAGATGATATCTTCGACCAATTAGGAGGATCGAGAGTATTTTCTAAGCTAGATTTGTGAAGTGGATATCACCAGGTGAAGGTCAAGGACTCTGATGTTCCCAAGTCTGCATTCCAGACGAGATATGGACATTATGAGTTCTTAGTGATGTCGTTTGGTGTGACTAATGCGCCAGCGACATTTAGTTGCATTTATTCCTCCTGTAATAGGCAACGTTCTTGTTTCTTCCGTTCCTGCTTTATCACTCTTTGACTCTGGAGCTTCCCATTGTTTTTTGTCTCATCGATTTATGAGTGCTCATTCTCTTCCTATAACTCCTCTGACTACGGGCTGGAATATCAACACTGGCAGTGGTGTTTTAGTAGCATCCAGTGGTTATGAAGCATGCACGATGGTCATTAGCGGGAGAGAACTCTTTGTAGATTTTCTGGTGATTGATTTACCGAGCTTTGATGCAGTATTTGGGATGGATTGGTTGGGGTCATTCTTTGCCACCATTGATTGTCTCCGTCGGAATCTAGTATTTGAGATACCGGATCACCCGAGGTTTGAGTTCCTCAGTGGTAGCACATCGGCCGGACCGGTAGAGTACAGAGCCAGACCGAAGAAGGCAACGTTTGCTGCCATGCATGTGGAACCCGAGAAGCCAATTGTAGTTCGGGAATTTGAAGATGTGTTTCCCAACGATATTTACGGGTTGCCACCGGATCGAGCAATTGAGTTTTTCATAGAATTGAAGCCTAGAACTGCTCCGATCTCCAAGACTCCTTATCATATGCCTCTGGCTGAGTTGACCGAGCTTCGGACTCAATTGGATGATCTTTTACAGAGAGGCTTGATACGACCCAGTGTATCGGCCTGGGGAGCACATGTGTTGCTTGTGGGTAAGAAAGATGAATCCAAGCGGATGTGCATCGACTACCGGGAGTTGAATACTGTAACAGTGAAGAATAAGTATCCACTTTCCCGTATTGATGATATCTTTGAACAATTAGGAGGATCGAGAGTATTTTCTAAGCTGGATCTGCGGAGTGGATATCACCAGGTGAAGGTCAAGAACTCTGATGTTCCCAAGACTGCATTCTGAACGAGATATGGACATTATGAGTTCTTAGTGATGCTGTTTGGTGTGACTAATGCGCCAGCGACATTCATGAACCTGATGAATCTGGTATTCTATGATGTGTTAGACAAGTTTGTAGAAGACTTTATTGATGATATCCTGGTATACTCCAAGAGTGAAGCGGAGCATGCAGAGCACTTGCGGTACGTGTTGCAGACCCTGAGAGAGCATCGGCTGTTCGCCAAGTATAGCAAGTGCCTGTTCTGGCTAGATCGCATCGCGTTTCTAGGACACATGGTGTCAGGAGACGGCATATCTATGGACCCGGAGAAGGTATATGCTGTTAGGGATTAGCCTACTTCTAGGACATTGTCTGACATTAAGAGCTTCCTAGGGCTAGCTAAATATTACAGGCGCTTCATCAAGGATTTCTCAAAGATCGCGAAGCCGATGACGCGACTTACGAGGAAGGATATTAGATTTGTCTGGTCCGACACTTGTGAGCAGGCGTTCGAGGAGTTAAAGTCTCGATTGATTTCGGCCCCGGTCTTGACAATACCAGATAAGAGTGGGAAATTTGAGGTGGTTTGCGACGCATCAGGTAGAGGATTGGGATGGCTTCCTTACAGCAGGCATGCCATTGGCTAGCGTGATCGTCTGCATCAGTCTGAAGAAGCCATGATGCAGCAATATCCGCACCACGACTTGGAAAGTTGGCACTGTGAATTTTTGGCCCTTAAGCTTTGGATACATTTTTGTTGGGCGGAGCAGCTAAGTGTTACGATCACAAAGATGAAGTTATATCTTCATCAAAAGGAGCATTCAACTGTGCAGACGCAATGGTTGGAGATGATGTGCAGACCTATACAATTGTACTCTTCAGTACACCCTGGAATTTGTCATGTAAGTACCAATGCTTTGAAGCGTTAACTCGACGATCAGGACCCTCACAGCTCAGTGGACCGACTTCAGCAGTAATATGAGTATAGATGTTCTTCTTCCAGGAGTCACCGCTTCTTTGATGAATCTTCAGATTCAATCAACATTGGTCGAGCGAATCAAGGCTGCACAAGCAGGTGACTCATTTCTTCAGAAGTGCAGAGAGTTAGCAGTAGCTGGCCTTCGGTCGGAATTTGTTGTTCATGAGGACGGATCCTTACGATTTGGGAGTCGTATCTGTGTACCAGAAGGAGATGTTCGAGAGGAGATATTACGGGAAGCTCATAGCTCACCATATTCTATTCATCCTAGAGGTACGAAGATGTACAAGGATCTGAAGCTGAACTTTTGGTGGCGTGGTATGAAGAGAAGTGTGGCTCGTAGTGTGGCTAAGTGCCTTGTATGTCAACAGGTGAAGGCAGAGCATCAATGTATCGCAGGTCTTTTGCAGCCATTGCTTATTCCAGAATGGAAGTGGTAGCATGTCACCATAGACTTCGTTACTGGCTTACCTCGGAGCACTAGACAAAATGATGTTGTTTGGGTGATCGTAGATCGATTAACCAAATCGGCTCACTTCATTCCATTCCGAGTGAGACAGTCGACGGAGCATCTTGCTCAGAGATACATGGACGTAAAATATTTATCTCTATATATTTCAATGAGTTCCTTTCCCAAGAGTGTTAGTAAATCTCTAGTATTGCAGGAGATTGTACGATTGTACAGAGTTCCAGTGCGCATCACTTCGGATCGCGATACCCGATTTACTTCAGAGTTCTGGAAGAGTTTGAAGGCGAGTCTTGGGACCAGTCTCAGTTTCAGCATAGCTTATCATCCCCAGACCGATGGGCAGTCGGAAAGGACCATTCAGATTTTGGAGGATATGCTTAGAGCTTGTATGCTTAATTTTCATGGATCGTGGGAAGATCACTTGCATTTGGTGGAGTTTGCATACAACAATAGTTTCCATGCTAGTATTGGAATGGCCCCTTTTGTAGCACTATATGGCAGGAAGTTCCGTTCTCCGTTGAGTTGAGACGATATTGGTGAACGGGAGATTTTTGGGCCAGAGTTGATTGAGAGAATAGTTGATGCAGTCAGGATCATACGGGAGCGACTTCGCATAGCGCAGGACAGATTTAAGTATTGGACAGATGCGAAGCGTCAACACTTAGAGTTTCAGCCAGGAGATCATGTGTTCCTGAAGATTTTCCCCAACCGAGGCACCATTCGCTTTGGAAGGCATGGGAAGTTGAGTCCGCGATATGTGGGACCTTTCAACGTATTAGAGAGAGTTGGAGAAGTGGCGTACCGACTTGCATTACTACCCGTCCTTGCTGGAGTGCATAACGTATTCCACATTTCTTAGTTGCAAAAATACGTTGGAGATCCGAGTCATGTCATAGATTTCTTAGAGATTGAGGTGCGATCCGATTTGACATACGAGAAGCATCCTGTGGTGATTTTGGACCGAAGGGAGAAGACCCTCCGGAACAAAACCGTTCCGCTTGTTCGTGTGATGTGGCACCCAGATTCTCCTGGAGAGTCGACTTGGGAAACTGAGTCTGAGATGCGACAGCGATACCCTCATTTATTTCCTGAATCCTAGCTGTCTTGTCTTGTATCTTATTTTTGAAACGCCTTGTATGACTTTTCCTATTTATGGATATGCAATATATTTTGAACTTTATATATGAGTTGAGATGAATCAGTCTTTATATTTCGTCCTTATTTTAATTTCGAGGATGGAATTTATTTTAAGGAGGGTAGGATGTAATGATCGTAAATTTCTAATACGGGTTTAAATAATTTTTTAGTATTTAAATATTAAATATTATTTTTCTAAAAGAGTATTTGTATTTTCCACAATTTTTTCTAGAATTTCCTATGATTTAAAATTTTGATTTTTATATTTATTTAATGATTTTGCTAATTATAAATTAAATTATTATTGTGAAAACTTTTTAAATAAATATTAATTATTTATTATTGTTATTATTATTATTATTTGTATTATTAATTTTCTTGTATCAATGTTTTTAGCTTACACCCTTTATCCCCTACCGTTATTTGACCGTCAGGTGATCAGCACGACAGTCAATTTTGTTATCTTCTTTTTTCCTGTGTTTCCTTCCTAATCAGTCTCTCTCTCTCTCTCTCATTATCTCTCACCTCAAACCCCTACCCCACCTCCCCTAAACCCTATGTTTCCCGCACACCCCACCTCATGATTCCCCCGCTCCTCAAAAGAACCCTGAATTCATCTATCTCCCTCTCGTTTTCATCTCTCTCTCTCTCACTCTCACTCAATCTCACTCTGTTTCTCTCTCACTCACTCTCTCTCATCCATTTCCCAAAAAGCTCTCACAGCTCACTCACTCTCTCCCTCTCCATGTCACTCTCATTTCCTCTCTCTCTCTCTCTCTCTCTCTCTCTCTCTCTCTCTCTCTCTCCTCTACATAAACCCATCTCCCACTTCATCTCTCCCTCTACCTCCTCAACTTCGAGCTCAGCCCATCAACGCCTCCGTCCTCCGTCGAGCTCCGACGCCATCACCGACCACCATCACCTCCCCTCAGCAAGCTCCGCCAGTGCTAGCTCCAACTCCGCCTCCGTCAGCCCTCCATCATCCTCAAGCGCCTCCTCTGTCACTGCGCACCTCCCACACGAGGCCCCCTTCGTTGTCGAACTCCGAACCATCTCCATCAGCCATCGGCCCCCTCTTGCTACCCCTTCTCTCTCTGTCGAGCTTCCCTATGCCCAAGCTCGCTGCCGCCGACAACCACCAATCGCCTCCCCTCCGCCGACCTCCTTAACGCCGCCCTCCACCACCTCGAGATCCCCTCTCACTGTCGCATCCAGCTCCTCACCTCCTACCATCCCTGAGCGGCCTCGTCACCGTCGAACTCCTCCCCTCGTCGATCTCATCATCTCGGTTCAGCCCTAACAAATCCAGCACCATCAACCCCCTCCATCTCCAGTTTGCCGACCAACCACGCCAACGTCTCAAGCCCATGAACCACCTCTCTGATGTACCCCTTGCCCCGCACCATGCCCAGCTCCCCACCAACGCCCCCATCTAGGTTTGATCCACCTCCGTCGCCGTCAAACTCCAACAACCGCGACCACCGCCGTCGACGAGCCCGAATCAGTGAGCTTCACTGCAAAAAACTATAGTTCGGAGCCAACTTCGCACGTTTTTTCCGGCCAACTACCGACCTCCGTTTCCATCGATTCCTTCACCAATACGTAGCCCTTCGTGTTGTCTATCATACGGTATATTCCTTTCACTTGGGCTCCCTATCTACACCTCATTATACTCATTTGAATATCACACGACGCATTAACACTCTAATTGTAATTTTAGCCGTCGTTTCTGTGAAACTTATCGTAATGATGTGCAATCACCCCGACGACCCCTACTACGATCCACGATATACCCAAGGCAAGATCCCACTTGCTCAGATTTAAATTTTGTATTTATTATAAATTATCTATAATTTTAGATCTGTTAATAATTATCTGTGTGGGTTTGTTTGATGAATGATATTAGATAAATCATAATAATAAGACAATTAGTATTTTCAGAATAATTATGATAAATTAAAAGAATTTACTTCGGTAGCAGAATCATTTTTGGATAATTATATTAATTAAAAAGAATTTATTTGAGAATGAAATCATTTTAGGAAAATTATAATAATTTAAAAAGAATTATCTTGGAAAATGAATCATTTTAGAATAATTATAATAATTTTTAGAAATTATCTTGTGGAAGAAATCATTTTAGAATGATAAATATTTTCTAAAAAGAAATTATTTAGGAAAATAGACTATTTTGAATTAGTAAGGATTTATCTTATAAAAAGATTAATTTTGAATTTATGAATTTATTCTTTTAAAAGATTATTTTTAGAATTATTATAATAAGAAAATAACTTATTTTGGAAAAAGGGATTATTTTGAAATTAAATTAAAAGAATTTAAATTGTAAAATAAATTATTTTGAAGTAAATAAATTTATTATTTTAGAATATTATTTTAGAATAATTTTATGATTCAAATTATTAATTTTGATTATCTGATATTGTATGATATTAATGTACATGATTAGTTGCATTTATTGTTTCTTCTTGTGATTAATAATCGTTAGGAGTTTATGACTATAGTGACATGTGTGACATGAATAAGACCTAGAGGCTTGTGTGTTGTTGACTTAGAAAATACAAGAGAGTTGGGATGGGAAAGTCAAGGTTCATGTGATCGGATAAGGCTGTTGATGTATCTTCCAGGCTCGCGCCAGTGAATAAGTGAAGTGTGTACATCACTTTGGTCAGTGGGAATTTATTTCGTCACCCGAGTTCTGTTTGAAGTTCGAACCAGGCAGAAACGGATTGCGTGCAGTCCACTAGGCCACATGTGTAGCGGGATTGGATGCACATAGAGGATTTGTGAACAGTCAGTTATCCGATGATAGGAGTGTTGACTCTGTGTGAGATGTGACCAGTGACCTGTTATAGAATGACTAGTTACATGACCGTATTTCTTGGCTAGGTATGATTTCTTGTGAGATACTAACCAGTTATATTTCTCTTCATACATAGATCGGAATTAATATTTAATTATCTATAATTTGAGACATATGGTATATACATGAGGGTTTCCTTGTTTGGATTATTTCGCTCGACGTACTATGTCTCTTGTTGTAGATTTTTAAGTATTAATTCCATCTTGTGTATAACCCTATACTTGGATGATTATTCTGATCGCTAGCTGCATGACCTCGTTACCCGATTGATTTTGGATTATTCTGATTATTCTATTCTAGTAGTAAATTATGTTTAGATTATTACTTATTCAGTTGCATGTTTCCATTGCTATTACCATTATTGCATTGGTCGTCCGACCGTTTCTATTCTTCCTTTGGGATCTTACCGTGTGCCATGCACGCTGACGTACTTCTTTCTCTCGGGATGTACGTCAGATTTAGAGGACGGACAGCTACAGTTCGGACTAGTACAGGAGCCAGAGGATCCTCCGCAGGATGGCTTTGCAGACGGAGCAGAAGAACAAGTCGAAGCTTAGTTACCTCTTTTAGTTAGTTGATGACCCTAGTTTACTTTTGTGGTACTTTTATTTTCTTCTGTATCATTGTATTTTATATTTTTCCAGTATTTCATTCAGATAGTTTTGTATAAGGGCATGTTTGGCCCGAATATTATGTCTGGGATGATGTTTCAGTTGTGATATGTATTATTTTGTTCTGAGTTGTTTGTTATATTCTCGCTACTGTGATCGGGGACTTGTGCCTTCGCTTTATATTTGCTTGACGCTTAGCATATTAGATTGAGCAGAAGGGGTCTAGTACGTATTTCTCCTCAGTCTAATATGTCGCGGCCTGGTTCACGTTCCGATTCCCTGGAATTTTGGGAAGCGGGGCGTGACAGTCGCTTTCCTCATAAATGTGCCTCAGATATCCCA